ACTGTAGGAGTGGGACAAAACGTCCGAGCGATGTCCCAGCTTTCCGCAGGTTCGACAGGCGTCGATTTGTCGTCGGTAGAGCGTGCACCGGATCAGGTTCGTCCCACACATGACGTAGTTTGGAACTTTCATACCGTCAAACAGGACGATCACCGTGGGCGTTTTCTTGATGCGCCGTACTCCAAGAACCTTCGGATTTCTTGCGTGCACGAAGAGCTCACCAAGCCGGTCATCAGAGAGCTCAGGGTCGATACCGCGAACAACTCCTCTGCACGTATCCCCGGGTGGCGTCACGTAAGTAGAGACTTCATGGAGCGTTTCTCCCACTCGAATTTGCTTCACTTTAGCGTAGGCTTCTGCTTCCTAGCGTGTGGCGTGCTGATCACAAAAATGTTCTGCATTTCATTGGCACAAACAATATCTTCCTCAGCCTGCGGCGGGCCGAGACAAGCAGCCATCAACAAAGCTTGGGTAACCTTGATTCCACTGACCTTGCACACATCCATGCCTCCCTTGGGACGTACGACAACCCGGTAGTGATCTTTAGGCAATCGCGGCAGGCGCGACGCGGCGATGAGCTTGTTTATCGGCCCCTTCGGGTGCGCTGGACGGGCGGCACGATGACCGGCACTGGGGCCAGGGCTGTCGCCGGGCGTAAAATCCTGACGCTGCTTCTTCCGAGAGTGGGCAACAATCCATCCGGAGGCTTCATCCTCCTGCCTGGAGATTTCTTCGCCGAAGACCATCTCCTCGAGCGGCATCCTCGAAGCGTCTCGCTCGGCAGGCCGAGCTGAGCGCCAACGTGGCACAGGGTGAAACACCCAAATAAAAGTTCGAAAGCTTGACCTACCCGCAAAAGTCGGGTATCCACTCGATCCTTGAAAGAAAGTGGATCAGATGAGTCGAAAAACCGAGGTCGATCGGCAAATTTGCGGTCAAAAACATTTAAAAAATAGGAGCCGATGCGAGCGCGTCCGGCTCGCGTCTAGCAAGCGGCGTTCCTCCTTCTGTATGGTGCCTCGCACATCTGCGCAGTTGCATAATTTGCGATGTTGAACAGCTTTCAACTATCACTTTGTGGCGATTCTGCAACGCAATATTGCGTGCGTTAAGGAGGCTCACGGTTTTTTTTTTTTTTTACGACACAGTTCAAGCATTGGCGCGGCTTCGGGGTATATATAACGCCTGCTTGTCACGCAGAAGAGGTTATTTAACCCCTGTCAACGTGTTAACGCCACGCATGACATAAAGGAAAGAAGTGTACGTTTAAGGGCTTGTTTTTAGGGGCGAAGCTCCTTATGTCGTGGCTTGTGCGTCTGTCGTAGTACGTAACCACCAGTGGCACATACCCGAAATAGGTATAACATTTGACCTCCAAGGTGGTGCCGGTGAGAGATTTCTTCTGTGCGTTGTTTAACAATAAAAAATAGTGCTCAATGTTCATGCCAATGGCTGCTAATGGGGAATGAGAGACAGGAGCATTCGGCTTTTAGTCAACGCGCACGCTGCGATCCCCATTAGCAGCCATTGGCATGTACATTGAGCACTATCGGACAAGAAAGAATTGCTACAATATACTCGCTGGGTGTAACCTCCTTAGTTTTAGAAAGGTTCAGCGAGCGTTGAGCCGCAGGGCCATTAATACAATGAACTAGTATATACCATGTATGAATTCGAGGTGGTTAAAGGGATACGAAGCGCAAGCCGTAAGAAATTAAAAGCTGAATCCTCCTGTCCCTCATTTCACATTAGCAGCCACTGGCATGTACATTGAGCACTATCTGACAGGAAAAGGTAGCTACGTTATACTCGCTGGGCGTAACCTCCTTGGTTTTCGAAAGGTTTAGCGAGCGTTCGGCCGAAGTGCCATGAATACAGTGAACTAGTATACACCATGAACTCGAGGTGGTTAAAGGTGGGAAGTGGACCCGAAGCGCAAGCCGTAAGAAAGTGTGCGTGTGCCACCTCTCGTTTAGTCCTTGGAATTTCCACTGAATGGCGTGCTTCTATATGGGGAATATATGATAAAAAGATGCGAGATGGTGGGACTTGGAGTGTTGAATAGATGGACGAACGGACACACAGACAGATGCATGGATGGACGCATGAACGGACGCAGGGGCGTATGCATGAACGAACGCAGGGACGGGCGCACGAACAGACGCATGGACGGTCACACAGACGGACGCATGGACGGACGAATGCTTCGCCCCACTCTCCATCATTCACTCCGTGGATATGCTGGCATTTTTTTTTCTTGTTAGACACAATATAATGAGATCTAACAGACAATCACGCCAAGCAAAGTATAGGGGACGTTATTTATTTATTTATTTATTTATTTATTTTCAAATACTGCAGCCCAATACAGGGCTATTGCAGGAGTGGGGTACATTTACATGAACAAAATACACTGATTACAAGGTTGACAAAAAAAATATTCGAAGTAATTGTAATGTAAGTGTTACGAAAGAAAAGTGGATGAGGAGGTAACTTGCCGTGAGTGGGGACCGAACCTTCATAACGCTTTCGATGCTCTGCCAACTCAGCTACCAGGGCGACTATTCTCACATCCACTTTATAGGAATCATATATGCAAAACGTCAGTCAGCGCCAGCAGTAGCCATGGTGGCGAGTGTGCCACACTCTCTATCAGGCTGTTTGGCGTCACGTAGCACATGAACTTATTGCGAGCTCGAAGCTGGCCAACAATCCCTCGTACACCACCTAAAGGCACCAAGTCTGCCTGAACGTGACCCTCGCTAAAAATGGAGGAAATAAGGGTACATTTATGGGGTCGTTCTCTTTGTTAGACACAATATTAATGAGATCTAAAAGACGACCATGCCACGGAAAGTAAAGGGGACATTATTCGAAGTAATTGTAATGCAAACGTGAAGAAAGAAAAGTGGATGAAAAGATGACTTGCCGTGGGCACAGACCGAACCGAATCGGAAAGGCAAGCGAGGGTGAGGGCTCAAGGAAAGAAAGGAGGTAGGTAGGGCGTATGCTGGCATCGCGTGCTGTCATTTCATGTCGTCGCTTGGTGTCACGGGGGCAATCTATGCATAACCAATAGAGTGGGAAATCCCAGTGAGGGTGAGGAAGAGAGGGCAGTGCATAGCATAGACGTGAATGATATATTACAAAAAGAAAATTTAGGTCAGGAGGAGGGAAGTGAGATAGAAGAGGAGTGGAAAAAGCATCCACGAAGGGAATCATCAAGAGTGGGCGAAGCTACGTTCGAAGGTTCATAATATCTGCGTGGAAGTCACCCATCTAGTAAAATGCTTGTAGTTGTTTTGTACTATTCTGCCACAATTGCGATTGTATTGCTAAAGCATTCGATAGGACTCACATCCACACATCTCCCCGTGATGAACACCGCGGACGGACATGGCTCGGACATAAGGTGCTTCGCCCCTAAAAAGAGAGAAGAGGACGCTTTCTCTCCTGCCATGGAAGCCTAGCAGGCTGCGCCGTTGGAACGCAAGGGCGCGCTTTCTCGTGAACGCAAGCGTCGCTAAAAGAACGCAGGTCTTTCAGCGACGCTCACAGCCTGCGTTTGCCCTCTCTACTTCTATTCTAACGTCTCGTCTCAAGCGCAGTTTGAGTTCACACGATAATGTCTTACCAATTATAATGCACATATTGCACCCTTCCACCGACGCCCAAGCGTCCGTTTGTATGGACATTCAATGAGGGTTAAACGCTACCTTCTTTAGTTTTAGGTGCTTCCGCTAGACGTTGTAGTTTGGGAAGACTGCTTACCTGAAATTAAGGAAGTGTCCACCGATTTCAATGCCCAGCCTTTCAGTTTGGCTGGATATCTTGGGGGCGAAAATTTCGGTTGGTATCACTTTGACGCAGTACAACAATCGTTGCACTGCATAATATATTTGTGATGCAGCCAAGCTGACCCTAGAAAAGTGACATTAAAGTTACTGATTAAAAGCAACCTAAGCTAGTTGATTTAGTATTTTTATATTAACAACGTTGAAAGGACGAACACCACACGAAGAAGCAGCTGTCATGCCTTCTTTGTGGGTCTGTTTGTCCTTTATAGCACTGCTAGTTTGTCTAATAAAACCTGCACATATAAGACATTTGCCAGTAATGCAGATTTAATGACTGTGCAGAGGTGTACGTACAATTAAATGGACTGAAAGTGTGTGGAGATTTCCATGAAAGTTACAGGTGTTGCTTGTGTTACTAGTACTCGATAGGCTATCGTGCTTAGACGTCTCTTTCCTGTTTTCTCTGCATAGTTTCTGAGTTAGCGTGATTACGAGTTATTCATTTCCAGGAAACGCCGAGTCACTGTATTGTTTCGTCTGTTTGCTACCTTCACCATTTGGCTTGAAGGTGGTGCGCCAGTATGAACATATCCTTTTATTTGCCTCAGTTTTACCCCGTGTTCTCAGATTTGGATGCACGTTAAAGAAACCCAGGTGGTCGAAATTTCCGGAGCCCTCCATTATGGCGTCTCTCATAATCATATGGTGGTTTTGGGACGTTAAACCCCACATATCAATTAATTGCCTCAGTTTCATTTCACCCGAACATGCCACCCATTAACAGTGCACTATATAGTAACGCTGCCAATTCACAACGTGGTGACCACTGGTGACCACTGCGAATAAAGCACCACAATGAGCTTACTTGCATTTCACACAATTTCATGCGTGTCTGGATGTTTACCGTATTTAGCCACACATCACTTTTAATCAGTTCATATCTCCCGCGTCTATGCCAAGCGTGGTCATGTGACCTTACAAAACCACGTGACTGATGGCGCGTGCTGTGGAGAAACTCGCCTCGAAACGAAGTTTCTTTATGATTTGTCCGCCTACGAACGTTTGTGGTAGTTTGGTAAACTCCGCGAGGCTGCGAGAGCTAGAATGTCGCTGCTGTAGTTGACGCCCTTCATTCCAATCTGGAGACTTGGAGTGCTCCACATTATGGAGGTGATACCGCATCTAACAGCCTTCGAGCGCTCTCGATGCAACTTTTCGTCAAAGCACCTACATGTTTGTGAAGTCCCAGCTGTGTCACCTGTTGTATCCGGACCTACGATATTTAATTTATTTCCTGTCTAGTCCTGTGCACATGCTTCATCTGATCGTTCGCCGATCCATGTTTTTCAATGCTGACTTGAAGTGTCCCTGCGTTCTCGCCACCGCCTATTATAGAGCAACTGTTTTTAAACCAATAGATGTTGCTTTCTGTGCTTCCCTGATATGTACTGCCTATATACACCACCGCGATAGGTTGTATAAGCAGTTAGTCACTGTCGAGGTAAGCGAATCAGTGACGAGGCGGAATGCCGTCGATCTGTGCGATATTCCTTGTTCCCATGTTTATGTGCACAGGCATTGCACGCACGCACCAGAGAAAGTTGGTCGAGTCTGTGGGAGACCTGCCTATCCGTTAAGAGTAAGCTTTTAAAGAAGTTACTTCACAATGCTACTGAGAACTTGTCGCGCGAGCCCAGCACTCCGGATATTCTATTTCATGGCACGAGCGATGCAGCACAGTGTGGGTACAAGCGACACCACTGGCCTTGTACGCAATGACAGAGTGAGTACTGCACGCTTTGCACACAGGCGCCTTCTTATGACTCCCAATAACGAACTGCGTATTTCTTTCAGGATGGTGCTCGAGTTTTGGTGGATACCTTTGGTCGGAAACACACTTATCTGCGCATCTCACTGACAGAAAAGTGCAGCCTAAGGTGTAAGGTTTGTCGTATTGGGTACAGCTTACTGTAATGTCATGTCATCTGCTGTCGTATGAGCCATGCGCCAATACTGTTTTGTTTACATCATCAGTCATTTGCATTCCTGTGCTGCTTGTTTTAAGGATACTCTACAGGCATGCATGAAAAGTCAATCAGTTTTACTGTGCTCAGCTCCATATGAGCTGTATGGCATTCACAGAATATATTGATAGCTAAATACAATAGCTAATAATGTATAGCTTCTGACCTGAAAGACGTGGTTTTAATCACAGTGACAGCAGTCGCGTTTCAATGGAGGCCATGAAATGTAAAATGTTAGTACGCACTAAAAAATGCCCAGTAATCCTCAACTGCGTTTTCTCTCATAGCCCGAGTCACTTGGGGACTAGAACCCAATGAACCAGTAATCAAACAACCAATGTTATATTGAAGCATGGATAAAATACAGCAAGTAAAACTCAAGAATCATTGTTCACTCCCAAGAAATACTTTTCAGCACAGATTCATGTGTTCTGTGTGGTGCCAGCGTTACAGCAAGTGTATGAAAGGTCACGCCCGTTCACCTAATCCACGTATTTGTGGGTTGTATCATCAAGTGGGACTGCATGAATATTGTTTTACACTGAATGTCTGCCAGCATGTTCCTGCAATGTGCTCAGGATAGCATGTGTCAGCACATCACAGTATTCCACTGCTGTCATTTTACTGCTTCAACAGTCCTGAAACTGTATATCATTACTTTTCACATATACCGCAGGAGCACTATATTTTAAAGGAAGCTGAAACTGCAACCACAGTGTATATAACCGAATTTCCTGAATTCGTTGACCACGTGATATCATTCATCAAACTTGTCACATACAGGTACTCAAGCTATGGTGTGATAAAAAACTCGTTTCTCATTGCAACTTACTCAAACAAAAAGGCTCGTTCACCATATGGTTGCCCCATGTATGTGGGGTGCAGGCACTGCATCCACATTGTGGTGTAAGCTAGAGCAGCCGTGTTTCTTTATTTAAATTTCTTATATCGTAACAAGAAAATGGAAACTTCTATGTGCCTAATACGTGGTATGCAGAATGAAATAGTCAATCCTGTCAACAAAACATAAGCGAGGATGCTTTACTACCCTCCTTATGTAGTGCTTATAGGGTTAAGGTCGGAGCCAAGAGTCTAACCCGCAATCTTTCTCTTGAACGCTGATCACAATCCCAGTGTATTGGCTAACAGTACTCCCCACTTTTTGAAATTACGTATACATTCAATTATCTTCAGCAACGCATCCGACAATAAAGCAAGATGTTATTTGTTTATATGGGTGAAAAACCTATCTATTACAATAAACAGAGGGGCTATGTTATACCATATGCTCCGTACCTTCGCATGGTGCACTTATTCTTTATTTGTTCTGGTTTGTTGCAGGTGTCTACTGCATGCCAGAAGAAGGTGTACCACTGACTTCGAGTGAAAAATTGCTCACTTCTGATGAAATAGTCCAGTTAGCAAGTCTCTTTGTAACTTTCGGTGTGAACAAAATCCGTCTCACTGGTGGGGAGCCTCTTGTGCGAAAAGATGCTGTCAATATCATTGGTGAGCTGCTCATTTCTTTAAAAATGAGGTTTTTAGTAAACATTAGGTAAACATTAGTTCTTAAATTTATGTTCAAGCTCATCCATTCATAAATAATTGTACTTAATGTGTCTGTATCTTTCCATGTGTGCATTCTCGGAGTAGTACTGGTCATCTCGTGTCACAGGACCATTAGTAATCCAATTGAAATAGAAGTTAAAGGCAAGGTCATAGCTTGACCGGATGAGAAGTCGCCGAACATAGAACAATGCCATGAAAGCTATTCAGGCACGATGACTCGTTCTCATCAGAGTGGCAACAGAATCGCTTAGTAGCATTAGGTTAGTCTTGCTTACACTTGCAATGTTGGGCCCTAGTAATCTACTCAGTTTAAAGTCCTAGCAAGTGTACGCATGTAACATGGCAAATGGCAAGACATAGCACGGCACCGTTACGTTTGCTTGTGTTAAAACAATATGTGGTCTCAACAATACAGTCTGGAAGGAAGCTCTTGTTGGGCACAATGAACCACGCCTTCGTGTCTACTAATCATTGCATAACACTGGAATAATTAATACATTTGAACCCCTTTATAAGAGACACGCACCCACAATTCTTCTCTTTTATATGAGGCGTCTCTTTAAGCAGGGTACCATGTATACATTTTCTTATAAGCCCATATTTTAATGTAGGCACACTGGAGTCTCTTATACCCATTTTTCTGTGGTATCACTATCTCTTATTAAGGTGTTCAACTCTATATGCCAACCTGAGCGATTTCGTGTAGATGTGTGTAAATGCACTTTGATGCTGGTGCAGCTCACCTTATTCACCTTATGATGGTCACTTTATTATACATGTAACCACTGAGGAGCTCGGCTCAGTGTTACTATTTTCGGTTACAAGAAGTCTTTGTCATAAACGACACGTCTTCCAAGACCCTTGAGTGTTTTAGGACGAGGTATTACTGTAGTGCTAGTGGCATTACAAGTTTAACACCTTGACAGTGCATAGGACATGAGTAAAAAAGAAACATGGGTATTGGTTGGCACCTAGTAAGGTATGTCATAACACTAACATAATATCTGCTGCTCAGACCAAAGTATACTTGAGAAGAGTAAAAAACTGGGCCAATTGGTTAATGTTTAGATGCAAGAGAAGCCAGCAAAAACTCAGTAAAAAAAGAAAAAGGCAAACTCACTCCTTTTCATTCTTGTGTTGCGTTTTCGCTGGTTTTTCTTGCATCTAAACCAGGGTTCACACAGCAGCCTAGCAGGTATTCTAGTGCGCTTATAGTGTGTATGTACAGACCACTCATTCCAGCAACAAAGGTTGCCGGGCTGACTTTGCTCCTTTGGTTGTAGCATTGACTATGGGGCCACTTTGCCTTGTTGCTATTGCAGTGAAGTGTACTTTGTGCATCTGTAGATCTCTCGATCAGGGCATGTACTGTCAACAGCGCAGGTAACATCTGTGGATACTAATCACAGCAATGGGCCAACATTGATGTAATTGCTATTACACTGAAAGCATTCAGTTGGCTACCATTATCAAGCTTATTCAATTAATTTTGATGTGGCAATTTCTAACCAAATCAAAATGAGTTTATTAAGCCATGTATACAAAATGATGCATACCTAATAGTTGGGCCAATAGCCTATTTGGCTAGTAGCTGGGCCTATAGAAAAAATACATAAAAGTTAGTAATGCACATAATTGGTCATGAAAATTATTTGTTTTATAATTGTGAGAGTTACAACAATGTACAATCTCGTATGGAAAGGTGATTACAACAATTTACTAGGCAAGAAAGCGTTCACAAAGAAGGTTGAAGTTACACATAGTTTTTATTTCTAGAGGCACAGTGTTTCAGGTTTCAATTCCGAAGAATTCTAACTATCGTTCGCCATAAACATCGTTACAGGGAGGAAGATTTAAACTTAACTGACTTGCTTGCCTGTTGTTTGCACACGAGAAGTTGAATATGGTATTGGGTAGTGGAAAGTTTGTGTACACTATTTTGTAAACTAGGCAAGCTATTTTATAATTTCTTCAAAATCTACATGCAATGAAACGCTGCTGCGGGCAGATAATGTTATTGTTTTCAAGAAATGCATTTAGTTGTATCGCAATGAGTTTTTCGAATTGGGTATTGATTTTACTGAGAATAGTTATTGGGCTATAACTTCCCGGGTGGTTTGGGTCACCAGATTCGTACTCTGGAAGAACATTACCGACTTTTAATATGTCTGTGTAAGAGTTCTTGCTTACTGCGTGATTGAACATGTGCCAGAGGGGCCCGCACACGATATTGATATTCTTTTTCAGAATCCTAACATGAATACCGTCGGGTCCAGATGCCTTATTTGCAGATACCTTTCCTACGATTGATTTTACTTTATCAAGTCTTATTTCACGAAAACAAAAGTCACATTCAAGAGATTTTTCAAGCATGGTTGTGGAAATAGTTAGGGTAGATTGCTTGTATATATGTTCACACCAATTCTTGAGAAGTGTTCATTAAAGTGATTAGCAGTTTCAGCAGGCACATTTTCTGGGGTAACATAGCGTTTATTTTCTGATCCTACTACATCTCTAACAGTTCTCCATGTTTGCCTTCCATCACCTTTATGCCACTTAACTAGATTGGTGTAGTAATTCTTTTTTGCTTTCCAAATTAACATAACTGATTTGTTTTTGGAAAAACATATATTGGCCTTTATAATACTTGTTGGCTTTGTTGTGTTCTAGTTTAATGTAAAAGTAAATTTTTTGTCAGCATAAAAAGCTGAAGGGTCGATATTTTGTGCCCTTGAAGATTTTGGCCCTGTGTGCCAGGCCTGTATTGGGATCACGTGAGTGCCATGGGCTGCCCATCAATAGTTCTAGAGCAGGCATGACTGCAGCTGTATTACCTTTTAGTTGTAAGCTGTAATATTATTTTGATGCTTTTATTGTCTAAGAAAATTTTAAGAGAAGGCATAGGCTGTAGAATGGTTACTGCCATTCGTAGGGTGTGGCAGTTGTAAAACAATCCTCACACATGCATTTCTGTCATGACCATTAGACCTGGCCAGATAAACTGTATTGATTTAATTGCTGTGTGTCTGGCTTGTTAAACATAAACAGTATTATCTACTCATTTTTTTTGTCAGTATTATATGCAATGGTATGAGTAAAGCCATTTTCATCTCTGGAGTTTTTAACTTTAGTTCACCATATACTATTATCTCACTTTTCACAGAATAGGCAATCGTAGACTATTAGGTTGTCGCTTGACTACAGGGACCCCACAATGTTGGTGCTGCACTGCTCAGTGCAAGGTCAAAGGTGACAGGTTCAATACCCAGCCAGTGCATCTGCATTCTAAGGTGAACATAATCCAAAAACAGTCAAGTGCTGTGCTTTCAGAACGTATTACAAAAGCACAGGTAATAAAAATAAACCATTGGCTCTCAGCTGTGGCATTGCTCGTAACCTCCCTCACAGTCTTGAAACGTAACGCCCCATAATTTATGGTTATGAATGTTTACAGCAATATTAGTGTTTGCCGGTGTTCATTTTTGTAAACAGAGGACAGCATTGCTCTTAATCTTTCAACTTAGTTTCAGTGGTGTTGAAAGAACAGATTTTGTAAATGTGTTTGGCTGAAATACAATTTGCTCAACTTACAACAGTCATTTTATCATGGACGGTTATGTGGTAGTCAATGAGTCTGTTCATAAATTTCAGAGAGCCTGGCAAAGATTCCGCAGCTGACTGTGCTGGGCATCACCACAAACGGTTTGGTGTTGTCGAAAAAAATTTCTGACTTGAGGAAGGCAGGTGAGGATTCATTTGTTTTTCGAGAGCGTGACTATTCTGTGGCGGTTGGTAGTTTTGTGCGAACAACCGTTTTAAAACGCAGGTTTGACGCACGTGAACATAAGCCTTGACACCCTAGTACCTGAAAAATTTGAGTTCCTGGCAAGGCGTAAAGGCTGGCACGTGGTGAGGAAAAGCATTGACGATGCACTGGCAACTGGCTTTGACTCAGTTAAGGTGAGTGTCAGATTCATGTGAAATTACAATGAATTGATGCAGTGTCATGATTTTTCAGAAAACGATGTTGTCAAATCATCACATTGTTTTTCAACTGAAATGGTGACTTAACGCCTATTGCACTGTATGGCTAAGCACAAAGATGTAGCTTAGTAGTTCTAAATTGGGGTAGCCATTTCTTTGGGGGGAAGGAATGTAAGAACACCCATGTTCTTGTATAGGGTGTCCAAGAAGATAGAGAAAGTGCAATGGTGGTGTTTTTTTAGTAATTAAAGTGATTACTTAGTCAATTATATATATAACTCAACAATCACTCCTAATTATCTAAATGTCAATGATGCATGTGTAGGCATGTTCAAATGATATCTAATGCTTCTATTTTTACTGCATACTAATTGCATGCAAAGTCTTTCCGGTTAATAAAGAAAATCCACAAAAAATTAAAAGTAACACTGTAGAAAACTGCTGCACGTATCAGGAAGCTGTGCCCTTAAACAAGCTCATTGTGTAGCAGCCATTTGCAAGAAAAAAATGCGCAAAGGAAAAATACAGACCTCTATATAGTGGAACTTCGATTATACGACTTTCAGGGGGCCACGCAAAATCGTCGTATAATCCGGGCGTCATATAATCGAAAAACCAAGAATATAGGCATTGATGGTCATTGTTGCCCCACAACAGTTGTCACATAATGCGCAAGAAAGTCCGTGGCACAAATCTACGCTGCTCCGATGAAGGTAGATTAAATTACTTGAAAAAATTACAACCACGCATTTTATCGGAGGTGTAAACAAATCCTTATTCTCATCTTTTAAAAAAATCTGTGATTTTTTTCTGCGAATTTGCCCAGCCATGATGCATCAGCTTTCTTTCGAGAGCTGCGACATCTGGCAGCAAGTCGCCGATCTCGTCGCGCGCGCAAGCAAACCGCCGAATGTTGTTGACGTAGCACAACACGTCCGCGTACATCGGAACGGACGCACTAGCCTCTGCAGTGTCATCCATCTCTTCCTCGTCGGAAGTTCCCGCAGTGTCAGGACGCACAGTTTCGATAATGTCACCCAACGACACTGCACTGCACACTGCAACGTCGTCGTCGGCACCAACATAGTCTGCGAAGGATCCAGGCAGCTCCAGGTTGCCGAACTCTGGTAGTGGAACCGGAACTAGCTGCTGTCTAGCCCTCTGGTACCTAGACAGCAGCTAGTTCCGGTTCCTGCGGCTGTCCCAAACGTAGACAGGCTCAACAATCGCCGTTCAACACGTCCGGTACAACAACGTGAAATCTAGTGAAAGTTATCGCATACTAGTAAGCGAGCTCGAAATTATCTGCCATGTTACCTGCTCACAGCTGTCACTACAAAACCACCCAAAAGAAGGCAGAAAACAAAACAAAAAAAAGGCCCCAACGGAAGTGCGCCGTGCAATGCGACTAAGCAAAACGAATGCGCTCCGGCTGGCTCTGGACAGCGTTGGCTCTGGATAGCTATGGCTGACAGCGTGTCGAAAAATTGAACGAGGCCCTGCGGCGGCAGCGCGGATAGTGTGCTAGAACCTATACCAGACTTCTCTTCCCAGACCATGCCTGAAATACAAGTAAACCTGGATGGCGTATGCAACCTAATCCACTCTCTTAAAATATCATCCTCGGCTGGCTGCGACGACATTAATTCTAAATTATTAAAAAACACTATTGCACACTCTAGCAAATTTTCGTACCTTATATTCCAATCTTTAAACACAGGAACCTTGCCAGAAGATTGGAAGAAAGCTAAAATAGTCCCAATTTTTAAATCAGGCCGGCGCGAAAGCCCCGCTAACTACCGCCCGATTAGCTTAACTAGTGTCCCATCTAAAATACTTGAGCATATTATAGCATCAACTCTTATGTCTTACCTAGAAGCAATCAGTTTTTTCTACCCTTTTCAACATGGTTTCTGAAAGTATCTTTCCTGCAAAACACAATTGGCTGAACTTACTAATGACATACTACTGCGAATGGATGATCACGTACAAATAGATGCAATTTTCTTAGATTTCTCCAAGGCCTTCGATCGCGTACCCCACAAGCACCTGCTCATCAAATTATCTGCTCTTGGTATTCCCCCAAACCTTATAAAATTGGCTCGAGCATTTCTTAACAGGACGCGTTCAGTTTACCGTTGCTAACAATTTCCATCAGCCCTTACCAGCGTCACTTCCGGTGTTCCCCAGGGCGCCGGCTTATCACCTCTGTTATTTCTTATATACATGAATGACCTTCCTAGTAACATTAAATCACAGCTGCGCCTATTTGCAGACGACTGCGTTCTTTATAACCCTCTTCACTCCTTTAACGACGCAATCACTCTACAACACGACCTTGACACCATCACTTCATGGTGCGAAAAATGGCATATGCCCCTAAACCTCTCTAAATGCAAGGTCATGTCCTTCACACATAAACACAACACCTCACATAAAACCTACTGCATTAATTCGGTTCCCATTGATCACACGCGTACTCACAAGTATCTAGGAGTTCATCTGACATCATCACTATCATGGGTGAAACACATTGAAACCATTCGTTCTGAAGCTTCCCGCACATTAGGCTACTTACGACGTAACCTGCGATCTGCATCTCCTGACATAAAGAAACTCGCATATCTAACATACGTGCGACCAAAACTCGAGTATGCGTCATCCATCTGGCATCCTTCACAAGCTTATCTCACCAATGATTTGGAAGCCGTTCAAAATCGCGCAGTTTGTTTCATTACGTCACAATATTCAAGGCATATCAGCATAAGCGCACTAAAACAAACGTTGTCACTCGCATCGCTCGCTTCACGTCGCATAACCTCTTGTATCTGCCTCCTTCACACATTATTTTACTTTAGCAGGTCAGGACACCCTCTCCTAAAACGCCCATTAAGAACGTCCTCTCGCCTGTCCCATACGCACTCTCTGATGACCATAAAATTCCGGACGACGGCGATGAGCAGCTCATTTTTCCCCCATGCCGTAACATTCTGGAATGCACTGCCAGATAACATAGTTTCTTGCAGGGACCGCTCAACATTTCGCGAAAAACTAACTCTTTTCCAAAATCCAAATACGATGTCCTAACAGCACATTAACTATTGCGTTTATAGTTGTTTTACTGTTTTCCCAAAATTTATTTATCGCCTATTATATTTTTATGTTTTGTTATGCGTCTTATTTCCGCTTGTGTTCTTTATTTGCTCATTCATTGTAATCAGTGTGTACCCTCATATTGTTCTATTGCTTAGGAACTTACAACCTGGATGTACGACCCCCCCATATGTAATGCCTTCGGGCCCTTAAAGTTGAATAAATGAGATGAAATGAGAGCGTACGGAGGAACGGACTCGGTTCCTCGGTTTCTCGACTTTTTTTCATACGGCCGCAGTGTGCTTGTGTGGCAGCCTGCATGCGTCATCGTAAGTTTTTTTTTTCTCGGACAGTCCAGCTAAGCATCGTACGAGGCGGGGCCGGCGTAAAATTGCGTCGTAGAATTGAGGTTTCAATACATTAGTTCTATGGAGATTTTGCCGGGACCAAGCTAATTCGTCGTAAAACGCGAATCGTTGCAGGACCAGGGGACTTATAATCGAAGTTCCACTGTATCTGCAGCTTTTCAGCTTTAGTCTTGCAGAGTTGGGCCAATATCCGAACAGTGCTACATCCGTATTATCAACAAGTACAGTGAACCATGAGGTTTGAGCAAGGATAGTGGCATACAATTGAGCAGAAAGAATCGCTGCAAAATTGCGATGCATGTTGTTGTCGCCTGACCCGTCCCATTGCCAAAGCAGGAAACGCTGTCTCCGGCAGCAGACAAAGTGGTTGCTTGCAGAAAGCTTATTTGAAGGAGCTGTATTCTTTTGCAGGGAAAATGGGGGGAGGGGGACCATAATCATGTGTTAATTTTCAGGTTTCGCGCATTTTCATTATCAGCTGAGAAAAAATGAGCTTGCAGTTAGTATGTTATTTAAGATAGTGCATTTAGATGTCATTTAAACATGTCTACAATCCTACATGAACATCATTGACATTTCAGTAATTTGGTGAGTACCTGTTCACTTACAGCTAGTAACTATGACTAAATGTCATCAATGAAAACATTAGAATAGACTACTGCAGTGTACTGAGAACATATGTTCTAGGTTTGTCTGGCGTAACTGTTTTGCTGGTTTTTTTTTAATATGCTGCATGATAGTTGGGACACCCTGTATCCAGGTACACAGTAAAGAACCCTTACTTTCAAAATTAATTAAGAGTACGCAACAAGCCTTGTGATCATGCCGAGGTTTCAATCTGTGATACTCTTACAATATATTTTGTAATTTCAATTGCGTGTAACTATCGTGATTTGTTCTTCCAAAGTGATACGATGTAGAATCGTGCAGAATCGCAGAAAGTTAGTCCAGTTGGTTGGAACTCATGGATGATGGTGGAAAAGTAACATGTTTTTAAAATTGTGCAGACACATAATTTTTCAATCTCATTTTTTTCTGTTGCTGTCAGTAGCTGATAACTTTATTATCATGGATGCAAACCTTAATTGCTTGAGCATGCAATGGTTAATTATTTGGAGATGTTTTTATATCACCCTGTTACAGTTATGGTTTCAAAAAACACCAAGAAAGGTGATATCGGGAAAGCTCTACAGTAAACACCACTGACCACATGACCACTTATTACACTGTTGGGTACAATGTCGAAAACTCTGTCAGAGAGCTCATGTAACAGATGGTGGCCGTCAAACATGTGATTTAGTTTGTTGTTTGGAGTTTACATCCAATCTAAGTTCTCATTGATGATGCAAGGTGCTCTGTTTAGCATACTCGCTTGCGAGGTATACGCTTTAAAATTTATTTTGGATATGTTCTAGCCTATATCTGCTATTTATATGAGGTAATGTGTGTGTTCACACTAATATATCTTGCAAATTATCTTGCCTTTAAAGTTTTACAGCAGTACTTAAGGCTTTAACACGAATTGACAAAACACAAGGAGATTGCTCTTTCTTGTCTGCTGTTATGTCTCTGTTTTTGCTTAATAAACTTAACTGTCATTTTATCAAGTGCAAAGTAATGTCATTTACGAACAGTCAGCAAACAGGTATATTATGTTGCCATGTTAACCAGTACCTTTTCCATGACTTTCTTCCAACCAGGTAAACTGCGTGGTGATGAAGGGTATCAATGAAGACGAACTGGTCAATTTCGTAAAGCTCACAGAGTCCAATGTAAGTAATATAAATTCCAACCGCACAAAATAATCACGTCGCTGAAACGAGATGTTTGAGAGTCTCCCGAATGCCCCTGTTTCAGAATCTTGAAGTGCGATTCATAGAGTACATGCCGTTTGATGGGAACAAATGGAGCCGGCAGAAGCTTGTCCCATTTGAGCGGATGTTGGCAGTTATAAAACAGGAGTGGCCCATGCTGGAGCGGCACGAGGACGGACCCAATCATACCTCAAAGGTAATTTGCTCAGCAAGATACGCTACAATTTCAACTTCTGTACCAGCATTTTGAACAGTACCTTAGATGTAAAGATCACGTCCTATGTAAGCTAAACTAAAGATTGAATGGGAATATAAGTTGGCTCCCCCCCCCCCCCCCCCCCAGTGTAGTTGACAAAAACGAGAGAGAGAGAAAACCGAAAATCTCCACGACTCTCAATTGAAAGAAAGTTTTTAAACTGAATTTCTTTAAATGGAACAAGTGTTTCTGATAAGATAGATTTTATTCATTTTATTATTCTGAACCCTTGTTCATTTCTGAGTAAAGAGAACTCCTGTTAAATAGAACATATTTTCCTGGTTTTTTCAGGTTCTGTTTAACTAGTATACTGTATTTTCAAATCCCATCATCAAGCTCACCCATCGTCTGAGCAACCCTCAACCATATTAGCTGCTTTTATTCGTCAGAAGCATTGTTGTCTTCCCAAGAGGAGCATTCATTGCTGGCCGTTTCCCACAGTGCGTCATCTTTCATGCCATCGAGTCTGTTGCTGACCACACTTGAAAGCATTTCGCATCGTGGCATCTGGCAAAGAACACCTGGCCGAAAGCACCCACCTAGAGATGGTCACAAGTGGAGGCAAGACGTTTGCGTCATTGGGTTGTGGCTAGACATTCGCTCCTGGTACTGTAGCTGTACTTTTTTCTCGAAAGGCTTGTTCAGAACAATCGTGGTCGGAGCTTGGATGTCATACCAACCTGGTATCACCAGGTCCATTTTTTTATTGGGAAGCACACGTCTTACAGCATCAGCCAGGTGGCTGCGAAACGCTTGCAAACCAAGCACGTTGCAAGGCATAGCAATGCAGCTGGCGAACGAGACCACTCGAATTCATTCGAGCATCATGGCTTTATCCATGAAGCCTTTTTCTTTCAAATGAACAACAACGCCAAATGGGAACGCTTCCTTCAGCACTGTTTTTCGTGTGAAAAGGCAAAGGGTGGTAGCTTGTTGCCAGTGGACGAGAGCTTCACATCCTTGGTGCCATACTTCATGATTGTGGTTGACGAAGGTATGTCAAACCACACGGGGGTCTCATAAGCATTGCTAATCTACCCCTTTGTGTAGTTATTGTTCCCCCGAAGCCACATGACGAAGCGTTTGGAGTTCACAAGCTTGTCCTTGAACTCCTCCAGCAACTATCAACAGATCGATGTGTGCTGGCAGAGAGAAAATCCTTTGCATCTCGTGAATCGATGCAGCCATGAGTTTGGTGCACAGGACTCTTCTCTTGACAGTCCAGCTTCTTCAGCAAGCTCCACAACTTTATTGTGAATAGTATTCCCGGTCACTGACAGCATGTGAGCATGAACTTTTTAAACATAGTCCGCTAGTGCATCTTCAAGCTTCTATTGAACTGCACTCCACCCATGAAACAGTGTCTTTCGCGGGTTGCATTCCAGTTTGCCTTTCTGCATTTTCTAATAGTGCGCACCTTTTTCATAAATTTCTCTAGGTGCTGGGCGGCCACATTCCCATTCACTTTGGCGAACTAAAACCAATTAATTCTTAACGCATCTGAGCATTGCCTTCCCGTGCCACTTATACTCATCTTTAACAAATCTACTAAAACAAATCTTAGCGCGGTGTATATTGGAGCAGGAAAGTCGGACAGTTCCAGAGCACAGCTTGAACATGTAAAAAAGGCAGCGAGATGAAATAAATATGCCTGCTAGGGAGTTTCGATGGGGCTGTGTGTGGCTTTTCACCTACCCGCACATCGCGTATTACCAGATGACTCACTAAAAATGGCTAAACAAGACAAAGAGCAACTTAAGCTCGTTGTTTTATTGAAAATATCTCAACTTATTATATTGGTGGTTTATACAGTGCCCCCTTCTAGCATTCAATGTTCCTTATACTCTCTTTTATCCAAAGCTAATCACGCAGATAATAACCACTATTGTTAAAGGGATGCACATTTTGAAACACATATAATGGGATCATCAGACTTGTTTCAAGTGATTCTGCAACACTTTTTCATGTAATGATCAAATGACCCCCAAGTCTGAGTTTATTGCTTGTGGAATCAACCACCCCAGGAAGTTTAAAAGCCTTCAAGTACAAGGATGTTGGGGGCTCGACAATATGACATTAGAGTGGACTCCCAATAAACGAAACTTGCTTGAACGAAAATGCCTCATTACCAGAACTAAATGGGCTCATATGGCTGGATTTTTATGTGTTGCGCAGTAAAACTCACCGGTTAATCGAAACAGTGCTTATTGGTCACCTACGGTTAAACGGCACAAACTATAAACAGAGCACAGACTCGTTCAGGCCAAAGGCAGTCTCACAACCATGGCAGCACCTCGAAACAAGCCAATCCAGTCGCTATTTTCACTTGTGGTGGCTGTGGGAGCCGAGTCGGCGAGTCAGGCCTATTTGTGCGGCTAAGTGCGGTGGATCACGGTGTTATTTCAGCCAGGTGGAAAGGAAGCGGCTGCACCATGCACTCTCGCTTGAAAAAAAAGCTGTGAATTCTTGAGGAGCTCGATCAATGTGGCCTGCCCAAGATGGAGGTGGCGAAAAAATACGACATCCCAAAATCCACGCTGTCGCGGATCTGCAAAGACAGAAAAAAGATTGAAGGCGCTGTAAAGAACGGGACCTTTACATCTAAACGGATGTGGATGCGGACGACGCCTTATTAATAACTAGAAAAAGTTCTTTTTCTCTGCTTCAAGCGTGCACGGAGTTCCAATTTACCCATAAGCGGACCAATTCTCGAGCAGAAAGCTCGAGAAATCGCCATGCAAGTGGGTGTTAAGAACTTTGTCCTAAGCTACGGATGGCTGAGCCGCTTCAAAACACGCCATGGCTTAGTCTTCAAAGCAATCTCGGGGGAGAGTGCTGCAGTCAACAGGGTCATTTGCATCGACTGGCAACAGGGGCGGCACAAAGAAATTTTGACGAGTTTTGAGGGACGAGACATCTTCAACGTCGACGAGATAGGTCTTTTTTATAAGGCGCGTCCATCAAAGACTCTCGCCTTCAAAGGTGCAGCCTGTAGTGGAAAAAACGCAGTAAAGATCACATCACTGTGCTGGTGGGTACAAACATGGCAGGAGATGAGAAATTGAAGCTGTTGGTAATAGGAAAATCAAGGCAACCACGTAGTTTTAAAAGTGTTTGACACTTCCCGTTGTGTACCATGCGAACGGAAGAGGGTGGATGACCATAGCCATTTTCGAAAACTAGCTTCGAGAGGAAGACGCAAGATTTACAAGGCAAGGCAGGAAGGTTGTCTTCATTGTGGATAATTTCCCAGTCCACGGTTAGGTTGAAAGACTCCAAGCCATCACTCTGGAGTTCTTGCCAGCCAAATCAATGGCACTGCTCCAGCCAATAGATCAAGGGGTTATTCAGAACATTAAAGTTCATTACCGCAGACATTTGCTTCATCGAATGCTGCTTTGTGCAGACAGCAGGAAATGCTACAGCACAGATTTATTGGCAGCCATCCACATATTGGCTCGTGCCTGAAAGCAAGTGAAGGCAGCAGCAATACACAGATGCTTTCATCATGCTGGCTTTCAAGTGCAAGAAGCAGTACCTGATTAAGAAAGAAGCCCTGCTGATGCCGACATTCAGGCAGTATTCAGTGAGGTCGTGCTCTCTGTCGCTTTCACGCTGCAGCATTACGAATCAATTGGTGAAAATGTTCGTACCTGTCATGAGGAGACTGTCAAGGAAATGACTGCAGAAGTGCAAGATGTGGATCAACTTTCCAGCGATGAATGTGATGACAATATTGCCAGTGCAGTGGTGCCACCAGACCGATCAGCTAAAGAGGCTGTGTAGGCCCGTGTACTCAGATTTGGGTGCACTTTAAAGAACCCCAGGTGGTCGAAATTTCCGGAGCCCTCCACTACGGCGTCTCTCATAATCATCAGTGGTTTTGGAACGTTAAACCCCACATATCAATCAAATCAGCTAAAGAGGCTGTTTAACTTTTGCAGCGCTATTTTGAGCATGAGGCTTGTTAAGAATTTCTGGCTAGTTTGTCAGGCATGGGTACCTTGGGAAAAAACAACTCAAGCTTGCCAAACAAACCACCCTTCACTCCTTATTTTCTCCTACTCATCCTCATGAGTAAGATGAGGTTCATGCCATTTTAATAAAGGTTTTGATTCACTAAATAAGTGTACTTGGCTTAAATGAAACTTCTGATAAATGGAACAGTTTAATAGATCCCCTTCAAGTTCTGTTTAAGAGGAGTCGACTGTATTACATGAACATAAACTGTGCTTAGGACAAGACACTAGAGTAGAAGAAGACAGGACGACAGTTGTTAGTCTGTGTTCATCCTCTATGGTGTCTCATCAGAAGCACAGTTTAACATGGTGTAGGCACGTGGTGGCATTCTGTGGTGGCCGCAATGATTGCAACACACAATGCTCAAATCTGGCAATAGCTATAAGCCATATTGATCTTATGGTATCATTTGTCAAGATCATTTGTCAAGAGAAGAGGGTGCGACATTTAATGGACGTTGAAATTCAATTGCAAATTACATGCTGCACATGCGACGCTTTAATGTTTGGCTCTCATGTTTGTTAGAGCCTTGACTACCAATCGGAACCATTTTCTGACCAATGTTCAAAAAGTGTTGCGAGGCCCCTTTCAGTCACTTTTGTTGGAAAGATAATGCCAAAGTCATGTGTGTTACTCCAACTTCCAGGGATCGTTTAAAGAAAACCTGTCAGGAAATCATTGCCTGTGACTTTTTTTACTTTGGTTTGTAGCTTTGGGTCCGATAATGACGAAATTGTTTTGTAAGTGTCTTGTAAGTGCTCCAGTGTGTTGTATAATTAATGCTAGTGTCATCAAATATTATAAATTACAGGAAGTGCAGAACACATACCTAAAGTCATCAAAACTGGCACCCCATCAATGGGAAGCACTTGAGACTACGCTCGCTCAAGCTTCATTGTCATTGAAATCATTTTCAAATGGGGCGCCGCGATGATACGATGTAGGTGCTTCGGTATAAACTAAGCCTGTGTAGCATTGCAGACTGCTAAAGGCCTGTCCCTTCCGAAAGAGGAAAAAATGGATTCCTGGTGTGTGTAGCCAGAACTACTTTGTGTGCCTGGTAAATATTTTGTGACATCGGCCATACTCGCTTAACTCGTAGAACATCGCCTCGCCGCCAATCTACAGTGAACTCCCAATGGAGGAAACTCGCTTAAACCAAAATGCCTCATTAATGGAACTAAATAAGCTCATATGGCTGCATTTCTATGTGTTGCGCAGTGTAATTCATTGGTTAATCGAAACAGTGCTTATTGGTCACCTACGGTTAAACGGCACACACTCTAAACACAGCATAGACTCGCTCATGCCTATGTAGTCTCACAACCATGGCAACACCTTGAGATTGAGACAAGCCAATCCAGTAGCCATTCTCGCTTGTGGCTGTGGGAGCGTTAGGCCTATTTGTGCGGCTAAGTGCCATGGATCACGGTGTTTCGGTCCAACGGGAAGGAAGTGGCCACACCATGCACTCTCGCTTGAAAAAAAGCTGCAAATTCTTCAGGAGCTCGATCCAAGTGGCCTGCCCAAGACGGAGGTGGTGAAAAAATACATCCCGAAATCGACGCTATTGCGGATTTAGAAAGACAGAAAAAAGATTGAAGGCACTGTTAAGATCGGGACCTTTACATCTAATTGGATGCGAATGCGGACGACGCCTTAAGAACAACTAGAAAAGGTTCTTTTTCTGTGGTTCAAGTGTGCACAGAGTTCCAATTTCCCATAAGCGGATCGATTCTCCAGCAGAAAGCTCGAGAGATTGCCATGCAAACGAATGTTAAGAACTTTGTCCTAAGCGACGGATGGCTCAGCCACTTAAAAACACGCCATGGCCTAGTCTTCAAAGCAATCTCAGGTGAGAGTGGTGCAGTCAACAGGGACATTTGCACCGACTGGCAACTGGGGCGGCTTAAGGAAATTTTGATGAGCTTTGAGCCACGAGACATCTTCACTGTCGACGAGATGGTTCTTTTTTATAAGGCGCTTCCATCAAAGACTCTCACCTTCAAAAGCGAAGCCTGTAGTGGAGGAAAATGCAGTAAATATCGCATAACTGTACTGTTGGGTGCAAACATAGCAGGAGATGAGAAATTGAAGCTGTTCGTAATAGGAAAATCAAGGCACCCACGTTGTTTCAAAGGTGTTCAGCACCTTCCCGTTGCATACCAATTTGAACGGAAGCGCGTGGGTCACCATGGCCATTTTCGAAAACTGGCTTCGTGAGGAAGGTGCAAGATTTACGAGGTAAGGCAGGAAGGTTGTCTTTATCGTGGATAATTGCCCAGCCCACGGTTAGGTTCAAGGACTCCAAGTCATCGCTCTGGAGTTCTTGCCAGCCAATTCAACGACAGTGATCTAGCCGATGGATCAAGGTGTTATTCAGAACATTAAAGTTCATTACCGCAGACATTTGCTTCATCGAATGCTGCTTTGGGCAGACAGCGGGAAATGCTACAGCATAGATTTTTTGGCAGCCATCCACATTACATTTTGGCTTGTGCCTGGGAGCAAGTGAAGGCAACACACAGATTCTTTCACCATGCTGGCTCTCAAGCGCAAGAAAGCAGTACCTAGTGAAGAATAAAGCCTTGCTGATGCCAACAGTGAGACAGTATTCAGTTAGGTCGTGCTCTCTGCCCATTTCACGCTACAGGACTACGAATCAATTGATGAAAACGTTTGTACCTGTCGTGGAGAAACTGTCGAGGAAATGATTGCCAAAGTGCAAGATGAGAATCAACCTTCCAGCGATTAATGTGATGACAATACTGCCAGTGCAGTGCCACCAGACCAATCAGCTAGAAAGGCTGTTGAACTTTTGCAGTGCTATTTTGAGCATGAGGCTTGTCTAGAATTTTAGCTAGTTTGTCAGGCATTGGTGCATACCTTGTGAAAAAACAACTCAAGCTTGCCAAACAAACCAGCCTTCACTCCTTTTTTTCTCCTACTCACCCTCATGAGTAAGGTGAAGTTTTTGAAATTTGAATAAAGGTCTTGGTTCACTGAATAAGTGTACTTTGCCTGAATGAAACTTCTGATAAATGGAACAGTTTTATGGATCCCCTTCCAGTTCGGTTTAAGAGGAGTCGACTGTATGTCATACCAGTGGCAAACTATCATGGTGCTTGGAACTCAGATGAGCACTCATGCCTACTTTAAAAGCAAATTGAAATATCTTAAAGGCAATGTTTAGCCTTGAAGTAAGTGCCCATGTGTACAGAAAAACCGAACAACACAAGCATCTTGAGCTTTTAATTTTTGTGTGAGTGGTCTTTTGGAAGTGATATTTTAGAAGTTCTATCTAGAACATGGCCTCTAATTGGCTGGTTGGCTTTTCGGTGGTCAATCTTAATTTCTCACACAGCTACAGGTCAGATGGACATCTTCATTACAATAAGTGAAAACTTATTTGTTATGCACATCACTATTTGGCTCTTGAGTCAGCATTTTGTTACAGTAGCTTTTCGCCTAGATTTGTCATACAATACAAAATATCTTTCTTCACCAGATTGCATTTGTCTGAAAAACTGTGTGTAGCCTATGTGATGGGTGTTAGCAAGTAGCTTGACATTAGTTTGCTTTTCAGTGAAATGGCAGTGTGAAGGGAAGTTTCAAATGTTATCATCTGTATGGCTTTTGATGTATTGGGTTAGTGCAAAGTTTGCTCACTGCAGCTCATTTTGCTTGCATCAGTGCAGCCAAACTCCCGCCTTCTTGTGTTACAAGTGTGACACCTGCCGGTTTTTCTTTCATGAAGTGCAATACCTTTATTCATAAGACACAGTGCATCTTTACAAGCACACATCTTGTTGCATAGCATTTTATCTTGTCTGGTAACTTTTTGTTATTGATCCCTTGGATGTTCTGGTATGTAACAGGGTTCTACATTGAAGACAATAATATTAGCTTGTGATAATATTGATCTGTGAAATTCACGGTGTAATGCATAATTGTACTTGGCCAACAGTGTTTTTATGTGTATATACTAATCAAATATAGAGATTTGAGGGCTACCTGATGTCTCTTAAATCTTTCACTGAAAATATGTAACCTTTTGCTGATGCTAGAAAAATTCCACTGAGCCCACTTTGCTGGAAAAGCAAAGAGATCTTAAAAGAGTGAAAGTAGCATTATTGTGTGTGTGTGTGCTATTTCTCTTTGTTCATATTTTATTGTACGATAAGCCACAATATGATCTTTACTTTCAACACATTTACTGCAGTTATTCAAGGTACCTGGCTGGACTGGAAAGATTGGTTTCATAACTTCTATGACGGACCATTTTTGTGGAACTTGCAACCGTATTCGGATTACAGCAGATGGAAACCTCAAGGTTTGTTATCCTTTAATAGAAATATCAAGATTCACTTCTTTCAACAAGCGTCTGAAATATTTAAAAAATATGAAGTGTCTCCAATGTGCACTGCCTGTTTCCCTGCACTGTGAATTGCTCTGTTATGCATATCTGTCTTCAAAGCCTTGACCGGCTCTTGTTCATGGAGAAAAGACCATGCGCCAACAGTGTGGCCTGCTAGGTTCTACCCTCCGAAGTGTGACCTGAAACTTGTGTTTTTGGCTTATGAGCAGGTAGAAGCTCTGTGAAATTTGTGAAGTACTACTGTTCATGCTTCAGTGTAAGAGCACATCAAAACCTTTCGACAGATTGTAATTTTTGTTGCACTTGAAAAAAGAAGAGCGTTAAAAAAAAGTTTTGCATGTGTTTGTAACAAAGCTACTTCTAATTCAATTGTAAACATTTCTGTTAAAAAACAAACCTCAACCTGCATAAAAATGACATAAGATATGTGTCAAGAACAGTAAAAAATCGATTGATTGATTTCCAAGGTACTGGAAGTCCCCATTTTTAAGCTTTCTTCCTTTTCTTTTCTGTTTCATTCTGCGAAATCTTTAGTGGCACTAGGAATTTTTCATTACATTCCATACCTGATCTGATGTTTGCCATAATTTTTCATTAAAACCAGTGAATGTGATGGTTTTTTCTTGTAAAAATCTCAGCTGGCCTCCAACAATGTTGGTTTTTATTAAAGCTCCTTTAGTGTGGCAAAAAAAAGCCTGGAAGAGCTACTTGTGTTGGTCTCATTTCTCCCTCATTGCACCTGCTAAACCCTTAACATCAACAATCATGGTAATGTATCTCAATTGTCAAGATTTAATGTACAGGAGAAATGTGGACTCTGTAAAACCTTTCACAGTGAATAGCTGCAAGTTAACTCAAACTACTCGAAGTTATTAACATACTCCCATGTCTCGGTAAACCTCCATTTTCGCACTCAGCATCTCGTCAAAATGCAGCTGCTGCATTCTTATATGGAACCTGCAACGTTATATTAGGCAGCCTAGTTCCTGCGCACTGTCGTACCGTGGCAACTCTGAGATAGAAGATGCTTGCAACACAATTGTCTGTGGTATAGGCATGGCCACAGGCTTGGTGCCACGTTTTATGTGGCACTGAAAACTCAAATTTATTGCGCCATGAAACTCTAGAAGGGCCGACATGTCCACTTGAGCAGGTTGGTTCATTGTTTTCAGTAAGAATGCAAATAGGGCATAAAAAAGATGTGTTGGTGGGAGAGTAACTTTTCAAAGCTTGTGATCGTTTTGTAGAAGTTATGTTGGCTCTTTCTCAGTGCGCTCCTTTGGTGCGTCTTTTTTGTTGCACGGCTTGTCATTGTGTTTTGAAGAAAGACTTATGAGACAAAGAAAAATGCGTAATACAAAATGGAAAGATTTCCATCCACTTTATTGTAGTGTGAAGCTACGAGACAAGTCCATGTGAAATTTTTAGAAAGCATCACACTTGACGTTAAGCTTGTCCTGGTTCATGACTCAAAACCAAGACCAACAACCAGGGCAGAGATGACAGTCACGAAAACGTCACCCGCCACAGTGCTAGACGGCTAACTTGCAGGTTACGGAATCGAATCTTGACTACGGCGGTCGCATTCTCGATGGAGGCAAAAATGCTTGAGGCCTGTGTACTACATTTAGGTGCACATTAAAGAACTACAGATGGTTAAAATTTCCGGAGCCCTCCACTACAGAATCTCTCATAACCATATGGTCATTTTGGGACGTTAAACTCCAGATATAATTATTAGTTACAGAAATATCATTTACTTTTCATCAACCTTCTTCTAGAATGCCGGCTACAGCAGAACTGAATTACCCATAGTGTGAAAGACACTCTTCAAACAATGTCAAGAAAAGTAACTCGATTTGTACCATGCGTAGGTGTGCCTGTTTGGTGGTCACGAAGTTTCCTTGAGGGATGCTCTGCGAGGGAAAGCTTCAACAGATGAGCTCCTGAACATTATTGGCAGTGCTGTGCTGAGGAAGAAGTTTAGCCATGCCGGCATGGATAAGCTGTCGACGCTCAAGAACAGGCCCATGATACTTATCGGAGGATAGAGTTCTATTTTCAAATGAATTGTTGTAGTTGTTGGTAGGTGACCTATTTTCTGATTTGCTTAAGTTGATGTTAATAAACACTGTTACAGAAAATTTTCACCCTATATAGTCAGTTATCTTTCCCCCTTCTCATTTCAGAACAGTAATTTTGCCTTATAATCATATTGTGGTTGTGGTTAATGAAATCTTTAAAATTATTATATTCTCTTAATACCTTTGTAATTTGTGGAGTTTGTTAGTTGTAGAAATGAAACGTTCTCACTAACGAGTATTATTCTGACTGCTTCTCATTCACTGCTGAAATTTCCTTGCATGTGAGCTCCGTAGAAATTCTATGCTAATTATGTGCTACGATGCTCTGCAGAACAATTAAGCATTTTCATTCATAATTAGCAAGTTTTAATGAATACTTGTTCTGACTACAAATTAACACTTATCTAATTATCAAACAATTAGCTGCTAGTTGGAATGTACAGGCGTCCAGGAAGCTCATTTAGTCTGAGTTCACCTCACCAAATGGCAGCCGGCAGCTGGAATACAGATACTGAGATTCCAGGCTTGTGCAAATAGTGAATTTTGGAACTTTACCGAATAGTGATGATTAGAGACCAGACTTTAGGCAAATGCCTATTTTGTTCCTTGTGTTCCTATTGTGCCGCTTTGATAAATGAACATGAATTAGAGGCTAAGGATAGCTTTATAGTGTTTTTAAGTGCCTGTAAGGGCCCATTTTTGACAAGGGGCCTAAATTCCTATAAGGGCCTGCAAACCTATTCTCAAAATTTGTGCCCATATGAACACTATTCAACGTCAAATTTTGCTTTTGAGTGCAGTTTGTAAACAACATTCGTGTTGGCGGGCAAAATTGACCCTTGAAACTCTATGCGGTGTAACCTAGTTCTTTAGTTCAACAATATAAGCAACCGCTAGCAGCGGCAAAATGGGACGTGCTGGCCACCTGACGCCCACCGCACTGACATGCAAAGAACAGCTGGTAAGTACCGTACAAAGAACCAACCAAAGAACACGTGCAAAGAACAGATGGTAAGTACCATGCACTTTTGCACTGTCACAAAAGCCTATTACCGGGAGTCTTCCAGGTAACTGGCTAAAAGTATACACGAAAGGAAAATAAAGACTGCTACACTCCTTACACTCATGTGACCTCATTAGAACAAAACAAAACTGCAAAATAAACAGCAAGCCATGATTGAATTTTTTCATTAAACATTGCGAGTCAGCGGCCGGTGTGGTTTGTCCCCCATTTTCACTTCGCACGCATCATCGTTGCTCTGTTTCGAAAGTGTTCATCTACTGAAAACAACAGGCCCTGTTTGCATTCAAACAAGACCCTTGAGCGGTTGTTCTGAAAGCTGCGCGCAGCTGCGATACGATAGGCTGATTACTGGCAGTTAAGTGGTGCTTAGTACTTGTAGCAAATCAAAAGCAGCACGAGCTGGTTTTGGCTGTGCTGATTACCACTAAAAGAGCCCTGCGACACAAATTAGGAGAGTGATTTTCATAGCTTCTGAAACTGTGGAATGCACCTATATTATTGTGCAAGTGGCAACACGAAAAACGATGCTGTTATTATTATATTTCAACAGAGAAAGCACAACACTTCGAGCTAGAGCGACACCCAATGGCTATTTTTTAGATTGAAAGTGACGTACACGTGGGAGTGCCAACATACTCCGGGCATTCCGTCTGGTTTGATGCGACAAGTCGCGCGTATATTAGCGTCTACATTACTCAGCGGACATATAAAAATAAAAATCCTGTAATAAAGCTGCAATGGGAGCTAGTTCGAACGTAAATTTGTGATGTGCTACCACGTGTAAAAGGAAGCAAAGAAAAGGGAAGACAACACAGGGTGGTGCATAAACACTCAACTTGCTTCATTTCGAGCACGCGTACACTTTTGTACAAGTAACGAAACAAAAAAAAAGAAAGAAAAACAGCAATCGGTCATGATATATGATAGTCAAACGAGCAATATTGCTCTGCAACTAGAAGGTGAAAAGAAGTCGGCATATCAATACTGTCAGCCCGATTGCGAATTTCAAGAAGTCAAGACATTGAAGTTTTGCAAACACATTATTACCATTTCGAGACTAAATTGCAAATAAAACAATTATGTCAAAGTTCTAAAAATCTTGTAAGAATCTCAAAGCTGAATATTTCGGACAGCTATTATATTTCTCTTTTTCTCCGGGGAGGCCGCACAAATAAAATATTTAGAGGATCCCGGACCCCAAATTTAGAAACTCGAGGTGCTTGTGTTGTTTGAGAGTCCTGCATGCGCGGGGGCACGTCTGACTGATTATTAATGGCGAGCGTTGCCTATAAGATATTTTACTTTGGTTTTTAAAGTAAGAATGCATGCTCGTCCGAGTATTCACGCGCGATCGACATTTTCTGAGTTTTGACGTGGACACTGTTGTGACGTTGCAAAGGTCAAGCAAGTACTGTTGGCGTCATAGAACACGTGCGGAGCGCGCACATTTAGCCCGACTGGCACCCGGCGAGGACTATTGTTTGTGGCCCGTGTCGCTCTTTTGTCGGGCTGCTCTTAATATACTCTCAAATTGGTTCTGGCTGCTTACGCCAGAAATGCTGCTCTTTTTTTTTTTTCTGAGTGGGACACGCTCAAAGCATTCACACCGTTTTATCCTTCACGACCCCATTTGAAGGCCGCGCGTCCCGCGTCACTGGAGTACAGTGTTCTAGTAGTATACCTTAAGCAAGGAGGTTATACTAAATCATCTGGAGTGGCGGTCCCGCATACCCGCCCATGTCTCGAAGTGAAGCCGCGGCGGCCATATTGCTCAGGGCAGAAGGAGGCGGCGCCTGTTTTGAAGCGCCGTGATGCTTGCCGTGCGTTTCGTTATTGCTACAAAAGCACCTGTTTGATATTTTTAGTAGGCGAACGAACGTAGAAAGGGCTTTAATGCACATCTGCTTTAATTTTTCTTGGACATTTGGCGTTTCAAGCGTGTAAAAAAAAAAGAACACGCCAGACCTGCAAGGAACGCGCAGAACAGTCACAGCGAAAGCTGGGAGAGTGGTCTTTCAAAGCCTTCTCTAAAAACTCTTTGGGATGCTACAAGAGCATTGCTGGGTACCCACAGTGCCATAAATAATCATAAATTTTCTGTAGCAGGCCAGCATTCACTATGCTATCCTTCGTCAATCATTGGAGAATCGTACGCGGTATTCGCTACACACTTGTTTGAAGTTTAGTGCATCTTTTTATGCAGTGGCTGATGACGATGAAGAAATATGCGTGAAGTGGTTATGCACCACAGTTAATAGGTGATCAAGAACAAGTTTTTTAATGGATGGGAGCGTTGGACGACCAAGTCGTCACGAAATTCGCATTGTGTGATGCCTCGCTGTTCCTTGATGGTCTAAAACGCTTTATTACTCATATTAATGCGACTCGTTTCCAGACATCAAGCCTGCCTAAAACCAGTTTAGAAACAATTTTCAGCGCTGGCGCGGCTCAGTGGTAGAATGCTGGGTTGGCACGCAGAGGAAACAATTTTCAGCGCTGGCGCGGCTCAGTGGTAGAATGCTGGGTTGGCACGCAGCGGACCCGGATTGGACTCTCATTGTGTCATTGATATTTTTAACTTACCGAGTTTTTTTTTGTTCGATACTAATTACGAGTGGCGGTGGCGGCAGACCCGGCTCTACGCACGACCAGTGTTCTGATCTCGTAACACCTTTCACTATAAAAAGAAAAAAAACGTACTCAGGGATATCACACACACACACACACACACACACACACACACACAAACACACACACACACACACACACACACACACATATATATATATATATATAATATATATATATTATACTATATATATATATAATATATATATATATATATATATATATATATATATATATATATATATATATATAGCTACAAACATTACTACAAAAACATAGAGCCTGCAAAAAATTATTCTTACTGTCATTGTGCCCCCGGATGCCAAAAGAAAATTATGGATGCAGTCGCATAGTCGCTAAAATGAATGGGCGAAGCATGCCTACTTAACATCGAAAGCTGAGCCCAGTGTCCACCTCACACGATTCGTGCAGCCAAATGCTACCCAAGAGCCCAACATCGTCGTCTCAGAATGTGATCACAGACGTGTTCAGAAGCGTCTTGTTCAATTAGAGGCACGATACGCAACATTAATAGCACTAAATCAACACGAAAGCCACGCACGCTAAAATGCGCCCATCCGTTTTCTGCCCTGATCAATATGGCGGTGTCGGCTTCAGCTGCGGAGCCTCTCCGCCACTCCAGAAGTTTTAATATAACCTCCTTGACCTTAAGCGCGCGCAGTCTCAGGCACTGCCCCGCTGTGGGGCGCTGTTTTCTTGTAATATTTCTAGGGGTTCAGTTCAGGCTGTCAAGGTGGATGGACGTGTTTTTTGAGCGCTCCGGATCGACTGCGCAGATAAGTGTTTTTGCATGTTTTGAGCTTGTCTTTATAATTTTAAGGCAGCGGTTGAAATCTTCGTAGCACTTATTTTATGGTACGGCTTTTTCGGGGGCCAGTCACCAGGTATTTATTAGTTAGTGCGGGTGTGTGTATTTGAATTTTTTTTGTTGTTTTTTTTTTCTTTTGCCACCCCGTGGGGGAGGTGCGCGTACATTGAACACGCAAATTTTTGTAGTAGAGCTTGGACTTTCTTTTTTATTTTTTTTTTCGTAGTGCAGGGCTCGAGTTTAGTAATTATCGAGTATAGGGACAATTGGTGTCAGAAAGGCATGGTTAAAAAGACTGTAAAGTGTTCAGGATGTGGAGTGGGTTTGAAAGTGGACCCAAGCGTAGAAGCGGGTGGAGAAGAGGCTGACGCGAAGTGTAGGCAATGTGAGGTCGAGGAAAAAATGGAGAAAATTATGGTTGCCCAGAGTGAACTGCTGATGAGAATCGCCGAGCTCGAGACTGCGTTGGCGACAGAGCAAAAGAAAACGAGGGCAATGGGAGAAAGACTGAAGTCCGCCGAGGAAGTGCTAGCGAAGCTGAAAAAAGAAGCGACCTACCGAGAGAACAGTAGGGA